ACGATTTGACCTCTCTGCTTCAGCTCCTCGTAACGTTGAAGATCCTCTCGCTTTCTGTTGTACTCCAATCTCCGAGCGTATTCCTTATCGATCTCCAACGTCGAGACGTCTTCTTCGCCGCCGTCGTCGTCTCCGAATAGCTTTGGCGGCATTCTCATTATCCAACGAAAATTAGGGTTTTACTGTGTCACAGTGAATCCACTCGAAGCCAATTTATATAAGTAGACGATGAATCATTAAACCGAACCGGAATTGATCTCGGTTTATAAATTTAGATACATGAAACCGAACCAAACCGATTAAAGAATCATCATCATCACAGAGTCGAGACATTTTAACAAAAAGAAAAAAAGTTTGGATTTTTGTTCTCCAAGAGAACATCTTTGTTCTCTCTACTATTACCATGGAGTTGACTTCACTATACGTTTCCAATTTACCAAATTCAAAGGGTAGATTCAACACGGTTCCACTTTCTTCGTCTTCTTGTTGGCTCTGCAAGTCGCAAGCTAAGCGAATCACTAAACTGAAACTCAGGGAAGGGTCGAATCGTGGGTTGTTTCGTGTACATGCTCTGTTTCACAACGAGGAGAGACCAAGTGAAAGCGAGGATGGTAATAAGTTCGGTTTTTTTCCTGCGGATGTTTTCTCTTTGTCTCAGGTAAACCAAGTTATTAAGTTGCTCTGAAGATTTGTCAATTTTGATGTGTGTAATTGTATGTGGATTTTAGCTAAAGACACTAGTTTTGTGAATTATTGAGGTTTTGATTGATGCAAAAACCTGAACTTTATAAAGATGTGTGTAAGATTGATTTGGTTCTTTTTATGTGTTTGTAAAGGAAAAATTTGGAAGTAATCTAAGTGGTTTAAAAGGATAGTCATAGTAAGATTGTGTAACTGTATTGTGGATTTTAGCTAAAGACAGTAGTTTCATGGTGTTATGCGAAGTTTTAGTGGAGTATTGAGCTTTCGATTGATGCATAAGATTTGATTTGTGAAGGAGAAGTTTGGAAGTAAACTAAGTGGTGAAAAGGATAATCATAATATAATCGATGTGGAGGCGTCTGTTGCACTTCCTCCTCATGGTGGAGGAACTCGAGCTGGGCTCTTTAGAACTCCGATTTCCGGTGGTGTTCAAAGTGCTACCTCTGCTCATGGTTTACCTCGACCGGCTTTAGCTGTTAGGAACTTGATGGAGCAGGTATGATCCTTTTAGATCATTTCAGTTGTTTCCTTTTTTATGTTTGATGAGGTAAGGATGTTAATTTTCTTGTGTTTGTTTGGGTTCTTGGTGCTACTGTTTATGGTTACAAGGCCAGGTTTGCTCATCTATGCACAGTGATGTCTAGAATGCACCATCGTAGAGAAGGTTACCCGTTTGGATCTTTAGTAGATTTTGCGCCTGATTCGATGGGGCGTAAGTCTTTTTCCTTAGACTATCTGTCTCTCTTTGTATGTTTATGAGTTTTTAACGGCAGCTTCTACTTCTTTGTTTTGTTTTCCAGACCCGATATTCTCATTTTCACCGTTGGCTATTCACACTCGTAATATCTTGGCTGAACCTAGATGCACACTCGTTGTTCAGGTAAAAACAGTATCTATCGTGTTATAAATATACAAACAGATTAGTGTTTATTCCCTTTTTTGTTCTCTGACTATGGATTTGGTTTTGCAGATACCTGGATGGAGTTGCTTATCGAATGCAAGAGTAACATTATTCGGCGATGTGTACCCATTGCCAGAAAATGAGCAAGTGCGTCTCTATCTAAACCTGTTTAAAACCGTTATCTCTGTTACCGGTTCATAACTTCTCTTGATCTGGATTTCTAGGAATGGGCCCATAAACAGTACATTGCAAAACATCACGAAGGACCTTCCCAACAATGGGGAAACTTTCACTATTTTAGAATGCAGAACATAAGGTTTCTGTCTTCTTATTCAATTCTAGCCACTCCATAGTGATTAATTTTCGAAACATAATAACAACCTCGATTTGTTTTCGCAGTGATATATATTTCATTGGAGGTTTTGGTACTGTCGCGTGGGTCAATGTCCACGAATACGAGACTCTTCGACCTGATAAGATAGCTGTTGATGGTGGTGAGGAAAATCTAAAGGTGAGTCATTTTCTCTTTCAAATGATTATGAGCTTACTTAGTGAACTAGTTTTTTTTTTGTTTTATTATTTTCATTCTACATTATGATAGGAACTAAATGCAATCTTCTCAAAGCCACTTAGAGAGTTACTGTCTATCGAATCCGAGGTAGACGATGCTGCTATTATCTCTATAGACAGCAAAGGAATCGATATAAGAGTTCGTCAAGGTGCTCAGGTAACAATATATATATATATACAACAAAATTTAAGAATCTTTCTATAATGGATTCTGCAAACAGAGGCTTTCTTTTCTCTTAGTTTTTTTTTGTGTGTATTCAATTTTGTGATTTGTGCAGTTTAACATACAAAGGCTAGCCTTTGAGGAAAGTCATGGTGTTGAAAACTTAGAAGAAGCCAAATCTGCATTGTGGAAAGTGATAGAGAAGGGCAAGTTGCACAATTTTCAGAAATGACCCACAAGTTTAACGAAATTTCAGAAATGACCACAAGGTTAAAAGAAGGGAGAAATCAATCCATGGGGTCGTCAAATTTTGCTTTCTCGTTTTATCCTTTGTAATTAGTTGGAATCTGTACAACTAAATAGAATCATAGATGGTAATAAGAATGTTATGATCCAAGACATCATGATTGGAAAAAAAAAACGAACCAAATTAGGATGCATCAATCTGAATTCGAACTAAACTTTATTATATAGATTTCTATCCAAACATATAAAACGAATCAAAGCATTACAAAACCGAACCAAATAAACTATATCAATTTAGTTAACCAAAACTCACTAAAATTCTACATTAATTAATTACTTACAAACAACTTCATTTAAATATATTGAGTTTTAATTAACTTGATTTTTGTTGTATTTTGTTTTTCAAATTCAAACCGGATCCAAAAAAAATCGAACAGAAATAAATAACTGAATACTGAGATTTGAGTATCGCTAGGTGAGAATGCAATTATTACATTTACAATATGAGGGCTAGAAACAGGTGTTCTCATAAACATCTGGGCGTTTCCAAAAGTTTAAAATTTGTAAAACACTGCGAGAAAAAAATGCAATTTACTTTAATAAAGGGCTTAAATCATAGATTCTCATAAATCTCGGGTCATTTTCGACGTTCTAAAAGTTTGAAAATTTGTGCGGGCATTTTTTTATCCCGAAGTTACTACAT